CAGAGCTCAAACTCTTGAGCGAGCTCTTAACCAACTGAGCCACTAGGCCAGCCCCCAAGTCAACTCTTAACCAACAAGCCACTCGGCCAGCCCTCTCTCTTGTCCTTTTGATGGCAGCCATTCAAACTGGTGTGAGGTGACATCTCATTGTGGTTTTGATTTGCATTCCCCTGATGATTGGTGATGTTGGGCACCTTTTCATGTGACTGTTGGTCATTTGTCATCTTTGGGAAAATGTCTACTCAGATCCTCTGTCATTTTTTTGGTCAGATTTTTTTTTTTTTTCTATTGTGAGTTCTTCACATATTGGGTACTAACCCTTTATCAAAGATATCAAATACTTTCTCTCATTCTGTAGGTTTTCTTTTCATTCATTTTGCTGATTGTTTCCTTTGCTGTGCAGTTTTTTAATTGGATGTAGTCCCACTTGTTTATTTATGCTTTTGTGGTCCTTTGCTTTTGCTGTCAAATCCCAAAAAAATCATTACCAAGACTGATGTCAAGGAGCTTAGCCCTATGTTTTCTACTAGGAGTTTTATGGTTTCAGGTCTTTCAGGTTCAAGTTTTTAATCTATCTTGAGTTGATTTTTATGTATGGTGTAAGATAGGGGTCCAGTTTCATTTTATTGCATATGGCTGTCCAGTTTTCCCACCACCATTCTTTCCCCATTGTATATTTTTGGTTCTTTTGTTGTAAATTAAGTGTCCATACATGCATGGGGTTATTTCTGGGCTCTCTATTCTGTTCCATTGGTCTATGTGTCTGTTTTTATGCCAATACCATACTGTTTTGATGACTATAGCTTTGTGATATAGTTTGAAATCAGGAAATGTGATACATTCAGCTTTGTTCTTCTTTTTCAAGATTGCTTTGGCTATTCAGGGTCTTTTGTGGTTCCATACTAATTTTAGGATAGTTTCTCTCTCTGTGAAAAATACCATTGGAATTTTGATAGAGATTACATTGAATCTGTAGGTTGCTTTGGATAGCAAGGTCATTTTAACAACATTAATTCTTCCAATCCATGAGCATGGAGCACCTTTCCATTTATTTGTGCTGTCTTCAGTTTCTTTCATCTGATAGTTTTCCGTGTACAGGTATTTCACCTCCTTGATAAAATTTATTCCTAGGTATTCTTTTTGACCTAATTATAAATGGGAGTTTTCTAAATTTCTTTTTCTGAGAGTTCATTAGTATAGAAATGTAACTGCTTTTGTATATTAATTTTGTATCCTGCAACTTTACTGAATTTGTTTATTAGTTCTGACGGCTTTTTGGTGGAGTCTTTAGGGTTTTCTATATATATCATGCCATCTGCAAATAGTTTTACTTCTTCCTTTCCAATTTGGATGCCTTTTATCTCTCTCTTTTTTTTTTTTTGCCTGATTGCTCTGGCTAGGACATCTAGTACTATGTTGAATAAAAGAGTGGGTGTCCATGTCTTGTTCCTGATTAGCTTTACACTATTGAGTATTATGTTAGCTGTGGGCTTGTCATATATGGCCTTTATTGTGTTGAGGTACATTCCTTCTATACCTAGCAGCTTCCACATTTTTAGGTTTGTTATAGCAGCACCCCACTCCTGGCCCCCCTCCCCCTTTTTTTGGGGGGAGTCTAGGTCCATTCAGGCTGCCATAACAAAACACCACAGACTGGTTAGCTTATAAACAACAAATTTATTTATCACAGTTCTGGAGGCTGGAAATCTGAGGTTAGGGTGCTAGCATGGTCAGGTGAGGGCTTTCTTCTGGGTTGCAGACTTGAATCCTCAAGTGATGGAAAGGGAAGGGATCTCTCAGGATCCTCTTTTATAAGGCACTGATCCTATTCATGAGGGCGCCACCCTCATGACTTAGGCATCTCTCAAAGTCCCCATCTTCTAACACCATCACTGTTGAAGTTAGGATTTCAACATATCAATTTGGGGGGAACACATTAAGACCATAGCAGTCTTCAAAGATACTTTAGCTTAGTGTCGTGTAACTCAATGCTTAGATCCTGCTCTCATAAGGGGGATGGTTCTCTAAAAATGCCCTATGTGGAAGGTTCTCCTGAGTGATGACAGGTGCTCTATCTTGTGAGCATAAGTAAGGGGCAGGGCATGGAGAAACCTGACATTGAAAATTTGTTACTAATGCCCACCACTTGCTTAATATTAACTAATTTAGGTAATTGTTCAAAAAGCCCTTTAGAGGTCCTGGTTGTTACCCACATTTCACAGATCGAGGAGTCGGGACTTTGCCCAAGGACAGGAATGAGCGACCAGATATTTGAACCTAGCTCAGGCTTATTTCAGAGTCCATGCTCTTTTAAGTGGCCATGAAGGTATCTGTTAGTATGGGCTAGAATGCTGTTAGCTTTTTCCTAATTCAAGACACGCCTCATCTCTCCTCACCCTCAATCCTTCCTGCTAACTCCACAAAGCCAGTCATAGGATCATGATGTTTGGGATTAAGCTCATCATTCGACACTCCCCAATGCCCCCGACCCAAGCTAGACTCTATCTCATCTCCTTATAGTTCTTAATGGGCTGAGCCCATGTCCTTTCAGAGCTATGACTCCATTATTCTGCCCCTCTACGAATTGCAGAGAATGCCATGTTTTGGAAGACTTTGCTTGCCAAAATACTGCATTTATGAAGATGTCCTGTTCCCATGAACTGCCTATCAGAGCTTCTGGCCAGCATGAAGTAGCCGGTGCTCCTTCCTGGGTTGGAAGACAGTGGCCTGGTGAGCCTCTGCTGCCTGACTCAGGCACATGCAGGATTTCTGGAACACTGAAAACAGCTGACAGTCACCCATTATTTTTATGCCTCTTGGGGTGGCCTGGGCTTTTTCTCCTGGGTGACCTCTTCAGCTCGGGGACGTACACACACAGAGCTGAGCTTGGAGCTAGCTTTCTTGCTACCCAAGGCTGTGCTCTTTTCATTCAATTGGGCTGCTTTCTAAATCTTTTTTTTTTTTTTTTTTTAGTTTTTTATTGGGGAATTGGAAGGAGGGGAACAGTGCTGGGGAATTGGGGGAAGGGGAACAGACAAGTTGCTGTCATTTTGTTCTTCAGTCTAGTTGTGGAGGACGTTGCTTCACTGGCCCAAGTTGGCACCATCATTGCGCTCTTCCGGGGCAAGGCAGATCAGTCGCCAGCTTCTGGACGGCCATTCACTGCGGCTGCTGGCCGCTCACGCTGGCTGCTGGCTACACACGGTAGCCCATGGCAACCCACTGCAGCAGGGGCTGCAGCCTACACCGTCGCCGGCGACTCACGGCAGCCCAGCTCCAGGTTGAGCTGTTGTTCAGCATCTCAGCTGTGGAGGGCAGTGTCACTGGCCCTCATATGTGGGATCCGAACCGGGGACCTCTGGCGTCCCAAGCCAGTTCTTAACCATCACGCCACTCGGCCGGCCCGCTTTCTAAATCTTTATCCCCAGTCTTCCCATGTCCCCAAACCATCAAAGGTGTCCCTCCCACTCTCTCCAGGACATACCTTATTCCTTGGCCCAGCAGTTAAAAATCTGCACAACGGTGCCGACTTGCTTTTTCAGATTTCATTGTCCATCCTCTCCCAAATGAGCTGTGCTTGTATCCAGCATTCCTAGTGTCTCTTTAATAACTTTGCAAGTGCTGGTGCCCTAACTTGGGGACACCAAGCCCTACTCTCCCAGCTGGGAACCGCTCTCTGCCATAGACTTCAGCCCTTGTCTGTACCACTCACACACGGCTCAGTGGATCAAGGCAAGCTGGCTTTTACCCTTCTTGTGCCCAGCTGAGGAGGCAGCATTTGCGTGGAGGCTTACGTCCCAGCTCAGTGCCTCTCCAGGCCCCTCCAGTCTGGCACCGAGCCTTGCACACTGGAAGGAGCGCAGGAAGGGGCCTTCCTGTGATGGTCATTAGGCACTTGCATTTGTCACAGTGTCCTTGTTTTTCAGTTGGGGAAATACAGGTGGGCCCAGGACTAAATCTCAGAACTCTTGGTGTTCATTTTTTCCCTTATTACCCCAAAATAATATCAATGGAAGTTTACAGTTTTCTTTTACTAAAGGACTGGTGAAGGAAATACCACTCCCCAACAGGAGACAGCGCTGTATTTATCAGGCAAGTTCCCAGAGGCAGAAGGCAGAATCTTTTTTCATTCATCTTGCTGACCTTCCCTGGAACCACCAAGTACTGGCTGAGAGTATGGACAGCTTCGAGTCTGAGTCTTGGGGTCTGGTTCTCATCTGCCTGCTTAGTGGGGTGGGAAGAAGGCCCAAGGCCTGTGTGCTGACCAGCGCTCCTTGCCCATGGCGTGCGGCAGCTGGGGGCACAGAGTAGCAATCCTCCCCCTTCTGACCCCCTATCTAGAACATGGAGCTTAGGGTGATTCAAACTGATGTAGTATATCTTAACATCTTTTCATCTTAGAAAAGCCACCCTTTGCTTTACATCCCAGAGAGACAGATACAGCACTGAGTTTAATACTCAGCAAGGCTAGTGCTTCCCTGCCCTGCTCTCCTGTGGCCTCCGCCTTTCTTCGCAAATGTTTAGGGACTGGTGTTTGTTCTTGCTACAACCACATGGATTCACAGAGAGGAGCTGAGGCAGAGGGTTGACGGCACACACTCATGCGTTTCCTGCCCCTACAGCCCTTTGGTGCCCAAAACAAGCATTCACACTCCACTTAGTAGCTAAATTATTAAGAGGTACCTGAGGTGATCTCTGAAAATGGTTCGCTATTCATCTGACCCAGAAAATCCCACAAAATCATGTACATCGAGAGGTTCAAATCTGTGTTCATTTTAAGAACACCCCTGAAACTGCCTGGGCCATCAAGGGTATGTGTATTCAAACAGTCGTCAAGTCTCTGAAAACTGTCACTTTGCTGAAGCAGTGTGTGGCACCGCGTCATTACAACGGTTCCCCTTTCAGCAGGGAGCAGGGCTCACCCTGCCGGTGCTGAAAGCTCCCCCGCTCAGAGTGGGCCAAGGAGTGGCTGGGCATGGGCTGAGATGACAAACAGTGACTCTTCTACAAATGTGGAGGTTTATTTCAACAAAATGTGAAAAGAAGACATTTGACTGAATTTCCTTGCTCATCAGGGTGTGTGTCCATCGACGTCTCAATGAGACAAGTGAAGGCTGCTTTGTGAACGAGAATAACAGACATGGCAATCTCAGCTCAAGCAAGTCTCGGTCATACATCATGCGTCTTCCTCCTGCCTCAGGAACCTTGCATGTGTAGTGGGCTGTGGGCATAGCAGAGCGCTCACGTTCTGTGGCTTTCTGTCTTCTCCATGTGAGAATCCCTGTCCAGGGTAAGACTTACAGCGAGGAGCTCTGGGGATGGGGGAATAGGCATTACAGGTTCTAAGAGGAGATGGATTCACTGAATGTGTCATAATTTGGTGGAGGGGGGAGACGTCAACGAGTGTAACCCACCCTGCCTCTGAAGAAATGCCAGGGCAAGCCCATTGGAGGGTGGGACTTAATACCAGCAGGGGGTGGAATTTTACTTATTGCAGGAAAGTGTAGAGGAATAATTTGATCAATGAATTCAATTCGTACTTACTGGGTAAGCAGATACTAGCAACAGTGGATGCGATGCGTCTTCCTGGACTGTAAGTTGTTCCCTCCTTTTTCCCGCCCTGCTCTGATGGTGCCAAACGCTTGTGCCTTGCCCCAGGGCAGCCTGGCTGAGGCTCTGACCTCCTGGGGGCAGACAGTGACGTACACAACCACCCAGTGCCCATCTGCACAAACTGTTCCTCAAAAAGGGGAGGTGGAGCTCTTTTTCGTGTGTGAACTAGAAGGTTAAGGCTCAAAACTGTAGCTCGTACAAAAGTATTCCTACCCCTGCTTCTGAAAGGTCTGTGATCTCCTCCTTGGTCATCAGTGACAAATGCAGTTAGCTGCACTGAGGAATCGGATGCTATACCAGCCCCGATCACCTGCCACTCATGCTTTAAGAACACCAACGGGGGAGCCAGTAAGCTCTGTTGTTGAAATAAACTCGCTCCACCACCGGTGAGGAGGCCCTGCCTTTGGCCGGGGAGGGACCCGTGCGCCTGGAAGACAGCAGCACCATGATGGGGTTGGAGATAATCTTAAGGTCATGTGGGTTCTGTGTTCCCGGAAGCCTCCCCACACCGGGAAGGTCAGTTCCTGGTGCCAAGAGCATGGCTGTCACCAGGGTTCCTTTCAGCAGCTGTGGGGAGACGGGTTGCACCTGTTGCCTATGTACATTCCAGGAAGAGACCAGACCCAAGGGGAGCAGGGCTGGCAGCTGCGAGGAGAGTTGCCCTGGAAACAAGAGACGAGTGACTACAGGCAGTACTGACCTCTTACAACCATCAAAGCTCCAGCCTTACTAGTAACGACCTCCCAAATCCTAAAAAGAGACTGTCCGGCCCACTCTCCCTGTGTAACTACTTTCAATCAGCGGCAGAGGGGGCAGTTCCCCTGGCTTCTCCTCTGCCAACTCAGCCTATAGCTCTGCCTGTGGGACCCCTGGGAGAAGGCGGGGGCTCCGCCACACAGGTGCAATAGCTAGAGGAGCAGAGACGTGCAGGGTAGGTAGTGAGGGGTGGTCACCATCTTTCCGTTCTAAGAGAACTGAACTCAAGGTTGAGGCCCCTAAATGCAGAACAGTGACTTGGTCTATTATCTTTGCTTCTTGGATCATGGTTTTGCCCTCATCTCTGCGTTCCCATGGAGCTTGCAGATGTCATGCTCTAGTTTTTCTTCATAACTAGGTACCTTGGTGTGATGAGACTGGGACTGGTTCGTCTCCAGTGCCTAGTGTGGACTGGGCTGAATGTGGGGGTAAAGAAATCAGGACGTGAGGCCTCCTCCTCTCCCTGGACCTGGTGCTGGGCCTGTCGCCTCAGTCCCAGCCCTCCTCTGCTGCCTGTGGCTGCAGCTCATGGGGCTGGGGCTGGGGCTGAGGGGCGCCGCTCACTGCCCCAGGCTTGGACCAGAGGGCTGGCAGGACAGGAAGGGCAGTCCTGCTTTTGTGTAGGAAGACCTCATGGTACGTACCGTACCCTTCATTGCCTTCTCATGCAGGTCTGTGCAGGGAGAGAGGACTGTTGTCACAGCCGGGGTAATAAATACTGAATGGGATGGGTGTGACCAGTGGCTGGCGCAGGGGCTTTGTCACCCTATGTTCCAGTATGTCAAGCATAACCTGAAAACATTTGAAGGAAAGAAAACGTCACTTGGATTCCAGTGCTGGGTCTCCTGTGTCTGCTTGTTACAGTGGTTTCAGTTGTAAAAAGGCAGCTCGCTAGCCCTTCGCTCCGGAGGCAGGAAGCTCTTCCTACGTGGAAGGGGAGTCCATTGTGGAGAGGATCCGAACGACTTCCGCTCGCTGCGTGGGTGAGATGTGCTGGGTCATGTAGACGATGGAATCCATGGCAACCTCTGGATTGGCCTGTACCAAGCTGGGGAGGAAGATGTGGGGCGGTGAGGGAAAGAGACAGGCAACAGGAGAAGGTCAGGGTAGCTTAAGAAGTGCCCCATAAACATGCTAACAGTCCAGTGCAGACGCGTCAGTCACCACTTCACCTGATTTATTTTCCTGCATGAAAAATGTCCCCAATAGCAAGGTAGCTACAAGATAAACCTGAAACATTCTGCTACGTCAAAAAGTGAGGAAGTACTTCAAGAAAACCAAAACCGAGGGAGGCATGTCACAGGCATAGTGGAGTCAGCATGAAGGTGCTCCCACTGGCTAAATCTGGGACATTTGGGGCACCAAAGTACAATGAATTAGAAGGAAGTACAATGAATTAGAATTGACTGAAAGAATAGAACTGCATGAGCCTACACTAGTAATGAACACCTGAATGAATGGAGGAGAGAGGACTTTTGCCTACTGTGGAGCTGGAGTGGCGACTGGGCAGTGTGGAGGCTGGGCGGGGCTGGGCAGTTACCCTTCTGCCACCTCACTGTAAAGACCAGAGACCCAAGACCCGTCTGTGGAGGCTACATCTAGGTGGGAATTCTGATGAGGGAAGGACGTGTGCATGGCCTTCACGTGTCTCCCACAGACTGCTTATTAGGTACAAGGGGGAAATCAGTATTTGTACCGTGGAGAACTGAGGAACATCGCAACCAGGTGACCGAAACAGGAGGGGCAGGTGATATCGTGGATCCCCAGATGTCCCCTGTGAGGGCTGCGTCATCACGTCTGTGACGTTCTGGCTGAGAATCTACAACCTGAACCTCCTCATGAGGAAACATCTGACCAACTCCAAATGAGCAGCTCTACAAAGCGTGGGTCAGATGAAAGAACAAGCACACTCACCAACGATAAAGCAAATGGGGTGAAATGGAAGTGACGAGGACCCCCGGGTACAGGTTTGTTCCTTGTGCTGCTTTTAGTTTTGCAACTTTTCTGTAAGTGAAATGTTTCTAAAGGAAGTTTTAAAAACACATCCCCAGCAGTCTCCACCCCCCATCCTATGGGGGAGACCGAGACTAGAAGAAGACAGCTAGCTCTCGGTTTGGGGAGAGGAGGCAGGCAGTGCCCCAGGAAACTACTGTGTGATCGGCCTTCCTCACAGCATCGTCCGTCCAGCTGGGAGTGTCTGCATTGGGAGCTATTGTGGGGCACAGTGAACTAAGCCTTCATCTAGCTGAGATTACGAAGGGGACCAGGAGCTGAGGAGGAATTGTGCTTTAGGGTTCTGTTTTTATCTTGAGTCAACCAGAGCATCTCAAATAGAAAGAGACCACACAGGTCGTAAGGCATCGTCATCTCAAGATTTGTTCTTCAGTCTTTCGTTCCAAAGAAGTGAGCCCCACTTCTCCTAGAGGAGGGCCCCCGGCGGGTCTCACCTGCGGATCTGCTTGAGGACATAGTCTCGGCTGATGTATTTGATGTTTTCCTCTATTACTGAGCGGACGCCATCTTCCTCTGTCAGCTGCTTCTCCAGCCATTCCACCAAATCCTTGTTATTGTCCCAAACATAGGCCTGCAAAACAGACGAATCAGGTCAGACACATGGGGCCAGGCCGGACACCCTGCCTGTGCGATACCCGGAAAAGTCACTCCAAAGCGTGCTGGGTGGACTCTGTTACTGTTGGCAGGGTGGAGGAAGGCAAACCAGGCCTCGAGGCAGGAGCTGCCCTCACCCTCCCTCCCTGACACAGCTGCATTCCGGGGACATCTACCCTCAGGGGTGTCATGCTCACACTCTGACTGGGATCCTGTCACTCTAGGTCTCTATTCCACAAAGGCTGAGAGAAAACTTAATCATCAGGCAGGCTGGAGAGAAAGTTAAGAAGTGAGTCTCCTGGGAGTCCCAGGCAGGCCCAGCAGAGGAGCTGCCCGGTGGGGGAAGTCCCCTGAGACAGAGCCCATGAGGCATGGAGGGGGACTGATGGGGGGGGGAGGCTGGCCGCTAGGGGACAGCCACCAGGTCAGAAGCCCATTTCACTTTCTAGGAGAGTATTCAAAGGGGTCAAGACGTCTGTAACCCTGAAAGTCTCAACCACCCACCTCGCGCCTCCTTTTTTCAAGATCATTTAGCTGAGTATTTCCTAGGTAGTTGACTACATAATAATTCAGGAGTGTGTTAGAAACCTAATAGCCTTCTCCTTGCTCTCTTCTCCTCTCATTTTCTTTACAAATCATTTAGGAATCGTTTTGTTAATGGTTTCCGGAAAACCAAGTACCACCATTAGGGCTCATTCATATTTATGTCATTTTGTTTGGGTAATTAAACACCAAGCTCGTCATTTAAAGGTGCGCTATCCTTCTCTGTTATCACTAACGAAGTCAAAGTCAGAATGACAATGAGTTTGGCGCTGTAATTTAATAGGTGGGTGCATTAGGGACTCTCAGAGGCTGGAGATGTGGCCGGGGAACCTGTGTCTGCCACAGCTGTGACTGCAGGGCCTGCGAGGCCCAGGGCGGTGTTTCCCTCACACCCTTCAAGAGGCCTCGCAGTAAGAGACACGCTGCACTGTTTCCTAACTTCCTAGTTTGTGCCTTTAAAAATAATGGTTTCTTTTCACTCTCACTTCCCCACCTCTAACTTAGCTGGCGAGTTAGCTGTCGAGTTAGCTGTGACTGGTTATTTATTATATGTCATGTAATTGACTTCCACATTTCCAACAATTCTTAAGGAGTCCTGCGCAGTTGAAGGATTAAGGGGCCCCAGGATTAAGGATCAGCAGTGCGCCTTTTCTAGCGCTTTGTCCCATTTTTTTTCTGCTTCCAAATTTGCCCCTCTCAGTAGTCGCTGACAAAAAGATCAGCTCTCCTAGTCCGGGTGGTGTGGCCAAGATGGTGCAGCCCTGAGCGAACCTTCCCACCTCTCTGGGCCTCGGTCAGGACTGCTGACATCTGAGGCTAAACAGCAGGAAAGGAGGTGCCCCATCAATCTCTATTGACACGGGTGGTGGTGATGTTTCTCCCACAGCCTGGTGGCCTTAACTCCTGCCCTCCAGCTCCTGTACACCCCCGGATGGATGGACACACCTGGACTCTGACATCACTGGGAATTTATTCTTCTGCTCTGTGGCTCGAGGACTTCTGAAGACGCCCCTGCTTATAAAGCTTTGGAGGTAGGAAAAACTAAAACAATGACTATTGCTTGATTTCAGGATGGGAAAAAAAATAGATTTACTCAAGAATCCCAAAGCCTTTCGTTTAGGAGAATATTTAATACTCTTATTAATCATTTTTAATCCGTTTGCTTTTAATTAAGAAACAGCATGATGCTTTCCTATCAACATATGCCAGGGAGCAGATTAATTGTGGCTTAAGATAACTCTCCTTGATTGGTGTAATGTATTAGCTAACAAGATGCCTGCTTCTAACGATGCTCAGACACTACACGGGAAAGCCAGCGACCCTCTAGAGAAAACTCTTCTGCCTTCCCCTCCTACAGCCACAGAACATGCTAGGTGTTTAAATTAAACATTAAAAAAGTTCCCAGACAAGATTAGGGCAACAATTCCAAGTTTCAGAATGGTTGCTCTCAAGTCTCCCCTTTGAAAATGCCCTTATAGGAAAGACCTGCTGTTTCCTCAAAGTACAGCAGCTGGATGACAACCAACAAGCCCCACCCCAGTCAAGCGTCACTCAGTGCATGTGAGGGCACAGGTGTCGCAGATCCCCGCCAGTTGCATTTTTAGCAAGAACAAACAAACTTAAGCATGCGCAGTGCTACAGGTTTTCCGAAACAGACTTGGGAGGGTTTAATATACGGCTGTGAGCTAACTTCCTCCTCTCCATGCTGAAAAAGCAAAGCTCCCTTCCGTTGGGTCAGGGAGTCTGCAGTTCCTTGCCTGCCCTCTTAGAGCAGAGTTGTAAGACTCCTCACTCCAGCCACCCAAAAGGATGAACCAACTCTATTCCCAGAAAAAACAACAAACCAAAAAACCAAAGCCACTATCATTGCCCTCCTTCAAGTTATGAAAATGTGGCTCATTACTCCTAGTGGCCCAGTGTGGATTTTAAACAAGTGTGAAATACAGGGCTGCTAATCTCAGCCCAGACCTGGGCCCGTGTGTCACCTGCTCGACACTCATCCCAATCAGAACATTTTAATACTGAACATCCCATCGGGGCCTTATAATCATGTTCAGCAGACACTTCCTCTCTCTCTCTCTCTCTGCATGGGCAGATAAGCATCTCTGGTACTGCTCAGCCTCACTAATTGTGTGTAGTAATTAGTCTATCTTACAAAATCTAAATGACCTGTTTGGAAACTTTCATTTCTAACGTATTGGATAGCTGTTAAGCCCTCCTTACTCAATGGGATAGCAGGGCCAGGGAGTGACCAGGGCCCAGCCTGATGGATGTGGGGCCTGATTACATGCCTTACAGATAACTCACTTCCAGCGGCCTGGAGACACCTCCAGCAATGTGACTTTTTTTCTGAGGCCTTGCAGTACAATAGCAAATAGCCATGTGGACTGGGGTCTCCTCAGAGCCCCTCCAGTCTCAGCCCATAGGCCACCTGGGGCCAGTGCCTTCCAGGTTCTGCCTCACTGCCTGCCTCCAAATCAAATGACCCTATCAACAGTGCTTTTCCCACTATCATCCTCACAGTGGCCTCCATACACCATTCACCTCATTTGGAAATCCAGAATAAGAGTGACTGGGTAGTTATCTGCACAATAAGAAGGTATTATGGCATCCTGGGTTGTGGATAAATTAGAGCAAGACAAAGAACAGTCACTGGGAATCTACTGTGCTCATGGTACCAACCCCTTCTTGCCAAGATCTTTACCTTCTATATCTTTAACTCTTAGTCTATGTTACATTGTTATTGTTTACCTTCTAACAGGCTGTGCTGAGAGGAGAAGCTGTCTACTGAGTGCCATACACTGTGCTCCATACTTATCATGTCATTTAAATCTCACTGAACCCTGTGAAATAAACATCATCCCTTTTACACATGAGAAACAGGGGCTTAAATAATATGTCCATACCAGTAAACGGCAAAGCTGGTTGGATTCTAAAAACCCGTTTTTCTCACTGCTCCATGCAGAGTTCTACTCTCAATTTCTACTATTGGGGGGGAAAACTCAGTTGGTTTGAAAAAACCACAAGCCTCAAACTGGGGATCTAGGAATTAAGAGAGAAAACATGTCCATGAAACAAATGTGTGCCATGTTTTTACGACCCAGTTTAAACCTAAATTCTTATTTTTTTTCAGGGAGCTGTAGTGGTGCTTTTCTTCTGCCTGCAGTGAAACTATGAACCATAAGCCCTATTTCCTACAACAGGACTGTCCCAGGGACTCACACAGACTCCCATAGCTCAGGTAGCAGATTCCGCTAAGGGAAACAAAAGAATTACATCGTTCAGTTACGTAACATCACAGTGTCTTCAAATTTTCTGTCCTGGAATCTCTTTTAGGATTAAGACTAAAAAAACAAATTCTCTGGGGGAAAGGAACACCCAGCCTAGCTAATAGATGCCTATCACTAAATGTCTGTCCCTACCAGTAACCACAATAAGGATTAGAGGGTCACCCCTTGGTGCAAAGCCGGGTCTAGACTTAGCCAGTCTTTGCACTTGAGAGACACAGCACACAATATCTATCACTGTTTGAGGGGCCAACAAAAAGTGGCGGTTTTAAGATTTTAAGCCATTCCCAAACACGGAGCGGATTCTGTGTCAGCCCTTCAGAGGCAGCACAGAGGCTTTTGAACATTGCAACACTTTCTTCTCTCAAGGGCACTGCAGATTTTATCACCCACCCCACACTCAACTAGGTCCTGCTGAGCCTGCAGAATATGGAAGGAGGTTTCAAAGCCACATCACAGGAGTGTGCGCCCCTCCTTTCTCTCCTCGGCTGTCCCGGACTGAGAGCCCAGGAGAAGGCTGACTTTTGTAGACAGGGGCGAGGGAAACTGCCTCGGTTCTTGGGTACAGTTAGTTCCCAGTGCCTCAGGCAGCCGCCCCCGGAGCTATGGGGCTGAGGTTGTCTTCTGCACTTGATCTCCAGCCAGGAAGTCTATGCATATACAGTCAACTGTTCTCTCCATCGATAAAAGATGGCAATGACCTGTTTCTCGACTCACTGTCCCCTGGGAGCAGGCCGCTAAGGAGAAACTGAAGGGCCTCGCCACTCACTTCCTGCTTCGAGGGAAGCTATTCCTTCTCCTCGTGCCCACTGAGGCCGCGCGCCTCCATTAGTGACTAATGTGGTAGGGAGGCGGTGCGGGCCTCTCCTGGCCACACGCACACACTCCATTTACCCAGCCGGCCACTCTGAACTGGAGAACAGCCTCTTATTTTACACTCGCCTGACTTTCAATGCCAACTTCCACTAGATGCTGCCAGTAGCCGCTGACAAAATTGTCTCACTCAATTATGATGCCACAGACTGACCTTAACCTGAACCAGATGTCACATAAGGCTGCACTCCCCTGCTGCACATCTGAAATATTTATCCAAAGAAGCTTTTCAGTCGTAAAGAAATGGGTAGAGTTAACACAAAGGTGAATCTCAGAGGCACCCTGATTCACTGACTTTAAAACTGACGGCAGATGTTGGAGTTCCTTCCTGAGAACACTCAGCAGAGACTTCAGGCGACGCTTTCCAGAAAGAGGCTGGAGTGGCCCTCCCTCCATCCTCTACCCAGCAGTCACAGAGCTATCAGGAAGACAACTCTATTTCCAGCACATACTACCAATATTCTGCTAAAATGTTTATGAGGACGTATATGATTTACTTTTTATCCATATACTAATAAAGGTTAATTTCATTTTCCTAGTCAAAATTAATAGAAATAAACGTTCTAACCTTTCCTTCTCATCTTCCTGTGGACTGTCTTGTGCAACCCACAATTCTAGAGGCAAATGCTGGGGCCTGCTCATACTGGCCTCAGACCCACCCCACCCCCAGTCCTGGGGCAAGGACATGGGGGACGCCACCTCAGTGGGGTCACGGCTCCAAAGCTTGTGCCCGCCCTGTGAGATCAGCCCAAGAATATGCCAGATTCAGAGTTCCCATTTCCTTCCAGCTCCGATTTGAAATCAGAAGTCTTTTCGTTGTGGTCACAGTCACTTCCTATTAGGCTTCGCGTTCTTACCTCCTTCAATTCCAACCTCCACACGGCCCTCTAAGCAGTCTCCCTGTAACACAAATCATGATATCTCTCTGCTGCTTAAACTACCTCAGTGGCTTCCCATGGGACTTAGGACCAAGTCCAAACCCCTCAACACAGCTACCATGGCCCCGCACAACCCCAGCCTCTGAGCCATCCCGAAATGGCTGCCATGCACAATACTCCTGCGATCAGACCTTACACAGCGGTTCTCAGCCTTCCTAATGCCGCGACCCCTTAATACAGTTCCGCATGTTGTGGTGACCCCCAGCCATAAACTTATTTTCGTTGCTACTCTATAACTGTAATTTTGCTACTGTTATGAATCGTAATGTAAATATCTTTGTTTTCCGATGGTTTTAGGCAACCCCTGTGAAAGGGTCGTTCGACCCCCAAAAGGGTCGCGACCCACAGGTTGAGAACCGCTGGCTTAGAACGTGCTGCTCCTTCTGCCTGGAACATTCCTCCTGCACCCCCCAAACCAACCTCTCCCTCATTTCTACTTTGTTTTCAGATCTGTGCTGACATGCCACTTCTAGAAGTCTTCCCAGACTCCCCTTCCCAGAGAGTGGTCAGGTGCCCTTGTTCTGTGCTCTGTGCTGTCCTCGGTTTGCCACGTTCAACACGGGGTCTCACTGTCGTATGTGGCCTCTGGACTAATCTGTCTCTCCCACCAGATGGTGAGCTCTGTGTGGACAGGAACAACCTCTGGCTCACTCACTGCCACGTCCCTAGGACCTAATGCAGGGTCTGGTATGTAGCAAGGATTCAAAAACGTTTGCTGAGTGGTAGAATGAGCTGCAAAAAATGCCCTACCACCTCTGCTAACATGCCATCAAGACACATTACTGTGGGGGGAGGAACAGGCTCAGGCTGGCATGCTATCCTTCCACTCCGGCCTGCAGAGGCCTGGTGACTCTGAGGTGACAAGCCTTGCAGTCCTCAGGTGCAGGAGGAGCACAGCGTGAAGGCTGCTCCGAGGGCGCCCACCTACCTTTACTGTTCCTTCCACTTCCACAAACCAGCGCCTCAACATGGCCTGGATCTGGCCATCGGTCAGCTCGGGATTGGCGTTGTGGATTTTCTTCTTGACCAGGTCCTCCAGCAGGAGGCGCCTCAGTCGCCAGTAGAAGAAGGTACGGGATGTTTTCCAGTCCAGGATGTCCTGTGCACAGACAGGAATAAGCTTAGTCGCCCCAGCCCCAATCCCTGCTCAGTGCCCAGGGTCCAGGCACAAAACCCCATTCTCCAACAAGCCCCCCAGAGATTCAAGAGCTGGCCACGAGCCCCCAGCACCTGCGGGTGTCTCCTCTGCACCCCGCTGACCACAGCATTGTGCCAGAGATGGGCCTGGCTAATGCTGACCCCACCCACACCCGAGATGTTCTGGGGATAGGGCTGTGAATCCCAGGTAGCCGAGTGAGGAACTGGGTTTGAGCACACGGTGCAGGCAAATCCAATGCAAGTGAGCGGCGGCTGGAATCCTGACACTAGTAATTACAGCCTGAGGATCACCTGGGCGGCTCTCCCCAGTGGAGGCACATGAGACTCGGTTTCCCACCCGTAAAATGGGGCTTGCCTCCGGAGGAGCCCAGAAAGTAATCTATACCATAAATTGTTATAGGACGATAGTGGATATAGGAAAAGGGAAAGGTCTCTCCAAAGCAACTGAAAATGGTTTGATCTGCACGAGCTGTTTAACCCAGCCCCATCGGCTTCCTACTCGTGAGCCCGTGTGCAGGAGACACACTTGCTTGCCCGCGGGTCTCTGACAAGGCAGGAGACGTGGCAGCCACTGTACTTACGTTAATAACACCCTTCTCCTGCATCCGGCCTGGTGTGTCGTGCAAGTCAGCAAACTGCACGGCTACCTGATGGTAAATGGGAATTAGGAATTCCTCCCGCTCCTTCAACTTGTTCTCCAGCTCCTTCCGCTCTGCCGCGCTGAGCTCTGGGGTGCCTGCAATTAAATACACCTGCCCATCACACTGTGCGGCATCCGGGAAGCTCTCTGCTCAGAAGCAGCCACAGTCATGAGGAGTCGCCCCCTCCCTCTGTGACCTGCTCCATCGGCCTCACCATCTCTTTGCTGAGTAACAGGCATCTGCGAGATGCCAGACCCGAGCGGACCTTGCCACGGGGAGCCCCCGTGTCCTCCTGTCCCTGTGGAGGTCACAACTATGAAAGCAGCCATGGGGGTCCCTCCCTCCAGGCCTCTCCCTGAGCAGGTGCAGACAGCCACCTGGAGGCCTGCATGTCTCATCAGCTCACCCACTCACGGCTGGGCCCTTTCCCGGGAAGGACACACGCCCATGCCCTGAGCAGCGCGAGTGCGTGGACCATGGAACATGGTGGGAGGGTATTCCTCTGCTTCCAAGCAGAGGCCAGTAGCTCTTCGTTCCTCGTGTCCACACCAGTCACCCGCCTGACTTGATAAGGATCTGAATGACTCCTAGAGTTGCAAGCGGCTTCATCCCACAGCTTCTCATCTCAGCTGTGGATACTATTAATCTGAAATTAGTGGAATCCAAGCTGGTGAGAGCCAGATCTGGGTGTCTCATGCTGGCTCAGGGGATTAGCCAGGCCCCTAGTCTCCTGCCTGGGCTGCTACTGACAGAGCCAACCCCTGACCACAGTGACAAAGACATTCTAGCTCTTGGGCTAAAAGAGAAGGAAGAATAAAAAGGGAAAGGTGTTCTGCAAGCCCCATTTGGATCACTGAGCTTAAAAAGCACACAGTACCTTCACTCAAAGAGACAGGAAACAGGAATTCTTTATAACAAGGACCCCACCCCCCATAGAGTCCCAGTAGAGGTGCTGCTGTGTTGTACTTTTATTCCTAATTACTCTCAGAATGGAACTTGAGATCAATACTGAAAATTTAGTTGCCTGCCTAGTAAGGAGGAGTAAGTCTAGCGGAAGGAGCAATAGGTGACAGCCCTCGGTGTTGAGGACAACCTGAAGTGCTTTGTCACCAAAGTTGACAAATAAACACATGACCACAGGTGATGGGCTGCAGGAAAGGTCTTTTTCAAGCATGTCTGGGAACGGGCCTTGCTTTTTATGCCACTATGAATCATATGCAATAAACAGCCTTGGGCTGCCGAGTGAGCTGTAAGTATTATATACAAACACATGTTAATAGAACAGGGATGTAACTATAGTACATAGCTTGATTTTTATGGGGTTTTTGGATGCCCAACTCTACCACCTTTTTTTTTATTTTTATTTTTTTTATTAGCCCATCACTACTTTAGAGCTGTGATGAAGAATGCTGACGGCCATCTTTTCTTAGACTCACATAGAAGACAGTCACTGACTTAACACATTGGGCCCCTGTCACCTCAGCTGCTTTCTTTCCAAACCAGGAAGATAACATGAGGGCGCTGGGCTCCCCACTGTCGGATGAGATGAAGGCCCATTCATTCTAATGTGAATCTGCCTGGAGAACTGATGGGAGGAGGGCCAACTTCTTTGTTCTGAGACCAGACTGTCTCAGTTATAACATCCTTGACAGGGAAGCAAACATTTTTCCTTTTCCAGTGAAAGGAAGGAACCAAGACTCCTTGGAGAAGCGGTTGACTCCAGGGCTGGGGCAGGGAAAATATAAAACGAGCCTGGAACGTAATTGTCACAGAGCAAGGAAGCATTCAAAAAACGATCAGGACATGTAGAAAGGACACAGGACACAGTCAGTCTGAAGGTGTTCCCCTTGGCCAAGTCTGGGACAAGCTGAGCAGTAAGTTTATCAAAAAAGATAATGATGTTTATTATCAAACAGATTATTTATGGGATAAAATAAGAAACTGTGAGTCCATCCTGATATAAATAATTAAATGGGGGAGAAGGGAAGGGAGAACGCTCCCTTCCAGCAGAACAACAATTAATGGGCATAGAAGAAATGATGGAATTAGAAAATTGCCATTTTACAATCACCACAGTAATTGATTCTGCCAGGAATTACCAACGGATACTAAAATGAGCAAGTGAAAGTTTGATGAGGAACAGGATATTTACATAGTCTCACAGTATCTCCTTAGAAATTACTTATTAATTATAGGGGAAAATGGTAATTTTACAGTGGATTAACCTGGTGAACAAACCTTAAACAAGTAATCAAAGTTAACATTATCATGAATAGGACAAACTGATATCATGTTCCTTCTGATACAATGTTTTGAGAAGGGCAGAATATCATTTTTGCAATATTCTTGCCCAAAATTCAGTTTGACTCTAACTATGGGGAAATATAAGAGAAACCTAAATTGAGGAACGTGCTACAAAAAGAGTGGCCTGTACTCTTCAAAGAAAAAAAAGTGAAGATTATGAAAGGAAAGGCCAAAGAATTATTCCAGATTAAAGTAGAATAAAAAGACTTGACAGCAAATTGTAATGTATGGTTTGGGATTAGATCAGACCAAAAAAACCAAACCGAAACAAAAAAAACTATAAAGGACATTATTGGGACAATTTGTAAAATTTTAATATGAACTAGACAGTAGAGTTGTATCAACGTTACAGTTCCCGATTTTGAGAAATGTATTGTGATTATGTAGGAAAAGTCTGTGCTCTTAGAAACACACACTAAATACTTGTGGATAAAGGAGTATGATGTCTACAGCTTACTCCCAAATGGCTCCAGGAAAGTGAGTGTGTGTGTGTGTGTGTGTACAGAGTGAACAAGCACATGGATATCAGCCTGCAGAAATGATCGAACAAATGGGACAAGATGTTAACCATAGGTGAATCTGAGAAAAAGGCATCAGAAGTTCTTCATACTACTATAACTTTTCTGCAAAATTACATCAAATGGAAAGTTAAAAAGAATAAGCAAACCAAAAAATTGTTTTTCCTGGCTCCCCACATACAATCAAAACTGAGAGTATTTACAGGGTGCTGGGCACTATTCTAAGTGCCTTCTATCTATTCACTCATTTAATCCTTACAACAACCTTATGAGATTGGTATTCCTATTATCCTCATCATACAGGTGAGGACACCGAGGTACTGAGAACTTATGGAACTTACCAAGGTCACGAACACAGAAAGGGGCTGAGCCAGGACTCATGTGCAGCAGCGTGGCCCCTGAAGCCTTTGAACACTGTTATATTGTGTCTTCTTGCTTACTTGGGCAGAGGACAAGTGCTTCAGCACTAGTGTCCTTTTAATTTCAGAAAAGCCTAAATGATGGAGACGGACTCGTGGCTGTCCAAGCTGAAGTTCCATCTTAGTCTCATTCCACAGCTGAGACCAAGACAATGTCTCTAGTAATTCCGAACACTCTGTAGGTCTAAGGGTTTAAGGGGAGCTCCTCCTGTTATGAGATCAGGAAAGAGCACAACAGCTCTGCGGGGTGAGGCAAGGGACGGCAGGACAGTGGATATGGCTGAACGGGGAATTCCAGACCCTCACAATGTCTTCCCTATGGGTAAACAACCAACATCGAGCATGTACACACATGTAACACACACCATTTATTGAGCATTTACTACGTGCCAGGCACTGCGCTCAGTGCTTTCAGGATCACATAGCTCATAAGTCACCATGCACAATTCAGACTTAGGTCGGATCAGCTGTTACCATTGCTGCCAAGCTGACTACCTAAATATCACGGAGCCAAGCTAACTACCTAAATATCACGGAGCCCTTTCCAAGTTGCTTCATACACATCATCTCTAATTCTTATAACAACCCAATCTTACAAACAGATGTCTATTTTACAAATGAGAAAACCAAGGCTCTGAAATGGAAAGTGACTTGCCCGGTGGCATCTGGCTCTTGAAGTGGCAAAGTCAGGATTGGCACTTGGGTCTGGCTGTCTCCGAAGCCTGTGTCCCTCCACATTAAATGGTACTGAAGGCGGTCAAGGAAGTGTCCTGGCAGTGGCCTCAGAAGGGCAATCAGTGGAAGAGTTTGGTTCATTGTGTTAGAAAGGAGTTAAGAGCCCAGCCAGTGTTGGGTGCAGAGGGGGAGGGCTTCTGGACTTAGGAGCAGAGCATCCTGGGAACAAGGCCTTGGCTTTACCAAGGTGGAAGGACAGAAAAGGTTGGCTCCTGGGCTACCGAAGGTCTTGTCCACCCAATCAAGCTATTTTAGAGCTTTGAAAGAATAACTAAACAAACACCTGTAATGTTCTGGCCTCCTGGGACTAGGAAGATCACAGGGCGTCCCTCCAAAAGCCGCCTTGTTTGATTCCTTCAGTAAAGCCTCTGACCGCAGTTCAAGACCACCCTCAAAAAAGCATCACAGCAAGGACAAGACAGAAGTAGAGAATGTATGTGTTTTAAAATGTACATGAGAAAGTCAAGGATTTGTGTATTTTGTTTTAAACGGGAGAACAAAAGGCTTTCTAAATTTTATTTTCTAAAAATAAAAAGCTGCTCTTCAGCTAGTTAGATCCTTGTGTAGCACACCGAGGGCCCCTCTCTCCTTGTACAGCAAAGCAGCCAGCCCCGGTAATGATTTAGGGGAGATTAACAAATATGTCAATGTCTATTTTCTGCTTAATTTAAAAGCGGCGTCTATAAAGATTTTTGACTTCTGAACCCTGTTCTCCTGAAAGAAAGAAGGTAAGAATGAGGAGGGGGATAAAGAGTGATTATCCTATCATTGATCGTTTGTCAGGAGCATTTCTTATTCACTGGACTATTGTAAAAAGCTAAGCTCTCGATCAATCCTGTAAGCTCCCTGTACAATTAAATATCTTGGAATGGTTTTCTTTCTTTTCTAGCCAGATTGCAGGGCCTCAGGGTTTTTAGGAAAGCAAGTCAGGTGTGTGTGTGTGTGTGTGTGTGTGTGTGTGTGTGTGTGTGTGTGTGTGTGTGTGTGTGTGTGTGTGTGTAAGACTATGCTACAGAGAAGAAAATCATTCTTTTCTAGAATCCTACTTTAGGGAAAGGCTGAAATGAGAGAAGAGACGCAGGTTAGTCCCATCGAACTTCCTTCCCAAAATAAAAAAGT